AAGATCACTATCCACGTGGTACTACCTATGCTCCGATTGACCTAATAAAGAATGAATATTTCTTCTATCCTCCTCTATCAAACAGAGATGAAGAACTTTTGAAGGAACTGATTCAAAGAAGTAAAGTTCTATGGCTTTTGGATGGTTACGATGAAATCGCAGAAAATTTACCTTCACACCTCCAAGGCTTCATGGAACATTTGCTTGATACTACACATCACATTTTGACATCTCGTCCATACGCTATTGCATTACAATACGATGTGAAAATGGAAATAACAGGATTCACCAACGATAATATCGTCAAGTACATTCAACAATTCTTTGATCAAATTAAAGATGAACTAGTTGGCGCAACTTTCCAAGGCGAAAAGTTATTGAACTTCCTCAGGTCGAACTCTCGAATTTGGGGTACTGCACACGTTCCAATAAATCTAGAACTAATTTGCAGTGTTTGGGGTGACTTCGACTGGTCCGAAACTAAATCTCTAACAATCACCATGCTCTACAATAAAATCACAGTATGCCTATGTAAACGATTTTTAACAAAACTCAACGATAAACACAAGAAAATGGTACCAGAACAAATTATTCATCAATGTAACGACGAGCTAAAATTCCTAGAAGCATTGGCTTATCATGCAATGACAAGCAAAACCATAATTCTTAAACCCTACCTGCTAAGAGAAGCAGAAAAGGAAAGCAATTGCTCATTAAAGGATCCTCAACAATTACTCAATTTTGGCATCCTAAAGGCTATCAATGATAAACCGACAGGCACTCACAATGACCGTGAGAAAGATCATTATTTTATCCATCTGAGTTTCCAAGAATACTTTGCAGCACGGTACTTGATTAAGACTCTCATCCCGTCAAAACGTCGAGAAGCAGTTCGTTTCATCAACCAACACAAGTATGATCAACGATTTACTTTGGTATTCACTTTTGCATCAGGATTGATCGCACTTTCTAAAAACGAAGACTCTGCAGAGATCTTCTGGTCTATAATAAATGGAGATCCCCGAGATTTAGTGGGTATCAGACATATTCAACTTATAATTGCATTGACAGATGAGATACCCAATGGTTCGATGTCCCAACAACGAATGTCAAATATAAATTTCATCGCAAAGTTTATTAGTACATATGTTCCCATGAAGCAGCAAGTCATAACTGACCACCTGGCACGATCCCTCCAAGGCACAACCTCATTACTCGATGAATCGATCATACAAGAGACATTGTTGCACCTTCTTACCAGTGGCACCTCCCACACAAAATTCAATATATTATTTCTCATATCCCAACTCACTATATCAAATCCAATACTTGACCTCATCCCTAAACTTCTCATTACGCTAGACGATCCTAACGAAGAAGTGCGAATCACTGCGTGCAGAGCCCTCGGACAGTTAGGTGAAAAAGCAGCAAATAAAGAAGTCATCGATCGACTGATGCAAATGATGGAGAATCAAGATTCGATTGTCAGATTAAGTGCGTGCACAGCCCTCGGGCAGTTGGGTGGAAAAGCAGCAACTAAACAAGTGATCGATCGATTGATGCAGATGATGAAGAATCAAGATTCGGTTGTCCAATTCAGTGCGCGTAGAGCCCTCCGGCAGTTGGGTGAAAAAGCAGCAACTAAAGAAGTGATCGATCGACTGGTGCAGATGATGGAGAACCAAGATCGGAATGTCCAATACAGGGCGCGCAAAGTCCTCCAGCTGTTGGGCGAAAAAGCAGCAACTAAAGAAGTAATTGATCGATTGGTGCAGATGATGGAGAATCAACGTCCGAATGTCCGGTCCATTGCGTGTGAAGCCCTCGGGCGGTTGGGTGAAAAAGCAGCAACTAAAGAAGTGATCGATCGACTAGTGCAGATGATGGAGAATCAAGATCCGGATGTCCAATCCAGTGCGTGTGAAGCCCTCGGGCAGTTGGGTGAAAAAGCAGCAAGTAAAGAAGTGATCGATCGACTGGTGCAGATGATGGAGAATCAACATCTGAATGTCCAATTCAGTGCGTCCAAAGCCCTCATACGCTTGAGTGAAAAAGCAACAACTAAAGAAGTGATGGTTCGGTTGATGAATGCAATGGCACGAAGTGACTGTGTCTTAGACCGAGGAGGAGTATTTAAGATCGTGGAAAATATACTTCGTCGCTCAGATATTTTGAAAGAGCTGGATGTGGTGGAGTTACGAATGCTGGAGTCAATAATCAAGGGCAGCAGGTATATTCGGCTGGAAGGTTTTTCTGCTCGGCACTGGGTTGATCGATTTTTCGATACGAAATGCCCTGGATGGCTGCCGATTGTGATGCATACTATGCTGTTGCAAGGAAGTGGGATCACTGTCTCAGAAAATACGATTATGCTATATGAGAATGATGAACCTGTGAGTATTGCAGCGCCTCAAGAAGAATTGTATCAGCAGTTGGTTAGTGCTTTAGACCAGCAGAGGCTAAAGCTGGAGAAGGTATGAACTGATTTATATTCGTGAGTGTCTTAGCTATATGCACTTCAAATGACTTATGCTCACCTAGATCAGAATGGATTAGTGAACTCGTGAGGATCACTGACATAGGAAAGGAAGGCTGATGGATTTTGAAAACCAGTAGTAACCTAATGGTGGGTTTGAGACTATTAAAAAACCCTGATACATGTTTGCACATTTCAGAAGAAAAGTCTAGAATTAACAGATTTAGTCCAAAGTGAGTGATGAATTAGATTCGCTTGATAATGATGATGATTGGATGCTAGCACACAGTTTGGACATTTAAATAGTACCAATATGCCCGTCGGATTATGAGCTACTTATTTTCATGTATTCAGTGTGAAAGACATGTCTCGGAGCCCTATATAGTCATTTTATATTTTATCAATCTCATAGGGGTGGACGTCATTTTCTGCTGGTAAATGGGAAGGGCATTAAGGTGGATAACGATATTCTTGTCTAGTGTTTTCGATCCACTGTTGAGGATAGAATATAGGTTTTAGACACCACCAATCAAATGATGTCGTTTAGCAAATGATGACAAAAATACATGCAGAATATACAGGTTCTCTTTCTATTCTTTCAGCTAGTTGTCATATTGTCTTGATGCTTCACGTATAAAATGCTTTTTCGCTATCTTTGTCATGTTTCATTCAGCTACTTTATGTCTCATTGAAGAAGTTAGTGAAGAAGATTCAGCTGCCAACTGCTAAAGAGTGTTCCAGAAAAGAATGGCCACTCTTTATTTTGTCTCTAAGTCGCTTATCTTTTACCCTAGAGGTTTAATTTTTTTGAAAGATTCGTCTTTCTAAGCTCTACAAAACCCTATCAAAGATTTATTGCAAATAATCTCCGTTGTTATTGGACAAACGATATAAGCGGTTGGTACAACTTTTGCAACTTGTCAAGCGAACGAATTCTCTTATTTGATGGACACCTCGTTTTAATTCATCGAGCAGAGTTTGTTTTTTATTTGACTTTTGCCCAGTTGATTTGTTAACCAAACTCATCCGAAATTGAGTAGCCTAGAGGGTTGAGATCGAGTGAGTTTGGATGCCAATGATTCTTGTCAATGAATGATGGAAAATTCTTCTGGCACCATTCTTGAGTTGCAGTATGTGTATGAGGCTTGGCACCATCCTGTTGGAAGGTCGAATTGTCGCCAAAAGGCTCGTTTCCATATTTTAAAGCCACCAGCAACATTTGATTGATGTACCGTTCAAGATGCATCGTTCCCTGATCCAGAATAATTAATGGTGTCAATCCCTTGGAGCATGCACATAACCAAACCATTGCTTACTGCGGAAACTTCCGTTTCTGTTTGACACCACCTTTTTAGTCAGCCTCTTCATGATTTACTGCCCATATTTGATCGTTTTGAGCATTGTAGATGGCATCGAGATCGACCATTTTCTCATCTGAGAAGAGAATTCTCAAGGTGTCTTCTGTACAGAAGTTATGCCGCACCCAATTTGCAAATGTAATTCTTTTACTCTTTTCGTGATCTGTGAGAGCTGGTTCAACGCTTTTTTTTGTATGAACGATATCCTAGATCTTGTTTCAGGTTTCTGACAACAGATTCTTTGGAGATATTCAGCTCACTGGCAAGTTTTCTAATTGACACTTTTTTACGTTACATTCGATTTTTCACCTTTTGGATCATTCCTTTGGATCCGATAATGCATGGATGACTCGGTGAGTGCAATAAGTTGATAGAACCTGCCCATCTCGCCATTACACACCACTGCCGAATAGTTCGAGAACTTACAGCACCGTTCAAGTCTTTAAAGAGTTTGACTGGAGGTTCACCTTTTTGATATTTGGAAAGTACTAGTTCCTAGAGATCTTCACTTTTCATCTTGAAAAATTTTATTCTGTAATTTCTTTTGAAAAGTAAACCCGTCATTTTATAGAGAGACAGAAAACGAATGAAAAAAGCAAAAAAGAGAGGTCGCCAAAGCAAAAGATGATCAGGGAAATGGTGATACAATGAGTGGCCGTTCTTTTTGGAACACCCGTTATATGTTACATTTGTTTCGTCTACCTCAATATCTCCCTTTGCATACGATGTGAAAAGAACTGTCCAATAGAAAAAACATCTAAAACAAACAAGAAGACATCAATCTTTTTAAAAGTCTGATCTACATTTATTTTAGTTGTCTGAAAGTGGTAAGTGTTCAACGATGCCGAACGAATCGAAACATGAAATGGAGGTGGATGACGTTGACGGTCAAACAAGAGAGAATAGCCACATGTCACCAAGTGCTACCATTTCGTCATCATCGACTTCAATAACTGAAAATTTGAAAGCGAAACCAAGTTGCAAGACACCTTCATCTAGTGGAGAAAAGACTATTTCTTCAAGTACCAAGAAATCACGAAAATAAGGGGGAATTATCATGAGAAACTGTTGATTTAATCATTTATCCTTATTTATTTTCATATTTTCATATTTCTATTTTATTCTACCTCTTTACGATGATCATTGATGTCTAGAGTATCCGGAAATTATAGAACTGCCTATAAAATTGTATTAAAATATTTCATTATCAGTAACTTATCTTACTCCACTGGTAGTTTCTAGTTTATATAAATAGGATAGTGTACTATGTTTTGCTACATTGTGCTGTCTCTGCATATCGTTCTATAGATAGTAATATAATACGTATAAAAGTCTGAAAAGTGCTGTTACAAAATCATAGGACCTAGTACAAGAACATACTATTTTTCGCACCACTATCTTTTCCTGAAACAGGGAAGTGGCGTTTTGTATTCAATATTCCAATAGATGTCAACCAAGGGAAAACGAAAGGATACATCGATTCATCTTCTACGAATGCAGACCTAGTTTACTTTCGGACGTGGTGGAGAGAATAGCGGTTAGTATCTATACAAAAAAAAAGAACATCATCACTTTATATGTAGTGAGATTTTCGTAATACATGATTCCTAAACATTGTGGAGTTTCTCGCAATTGTATTGGATAAACGATTCGCAAATATAATAAACAATATATTGTTACGACCAAGTCTGGCAATGGTCGTTCTTCGAAGCTTAGCTAAAGAGAAAAGCGAACGATTCAATTAGAGCAGTTACACGATGATACAATGTCATCAAACCATTTTGTTCGATATGTTCAAGTGAATTTTGATGTGGCTATTAGTCGAAGTACAATTAGTCGTATTCTTAATAATTTTGGTTTGATCAATTATATATCAGCCGAGAATTAAAGAACAACTTTTAGTGATGAAAGCTGTTTTCATTCATTGAATAGCACAAAAAAGATATATTTGCCGTTATTTAAGTGTATCAAGCTGTTTAACATATTATAGCCTTAGTAATTTGAGGTGCGGGGTGTGGATGTGTAAATCAAATAGAAAACAGATCGATCTATATTTTTCTGATGCAAATCAATCTGCTAGTCTCAACTCTTGCTTTTCAGCAACTGATGAAGTCGTAATTATTTTCAAAGTTAAAATTTGTGCTTAATCAAATTGTAAATAGAAATGCAGAGTTTAATTTTGCCGACGCGTTTCATGTTTATTTTATTGAAATTATAAAAAACTCATCAGGGCTCTGCATTACAAAAAAAGCGAATATTGAAACAAAACTCCTCTAAATGAAGCAAATTGTTGTATGAAAAACAAAGCTTCTCTAAATTAAGAACATAATTATAAATGTAAACTAAATTTAACTCACAAACGATATAATAATTTTATAAGCACTATGCAACGACATAGAGAGCACATATAGAAATAAATCTCGAAATTTCAAAAATAGTACAACTAAACAACAATACAAATAACGTTAACACTCTAACATGTTAATAAATTCAAATGCTTCAAGAATAGTACAACAAATACAACAATACAAATGACGTTAACACCCTGACATATTACTAAATTCAAGTACTTCATCTTGTGTCCAAAATGTCTTTATTGTTTGTGCCATTTCTTTTAATGACAGACGATTATAATTCGGACATGTTTATATGGTATTTTCATCAATATTACCAAATGGCTAACGTCTTAATTTTGGATAGTCAATATTGAAATTAATTAATAAATTGATGAAGAAATTCTAGCCAGAAAACTCATTCACTGCCATCGATAATCTTCCGAATTAAGCAAAAAATATGTTGCAACTATTGTTACACAAATAGTTACAACAGTAAGAATTAAAAATACGAGTCGCAGGGTGTGGGTGTGGGTGTGGGTGGGTGCGGATGAAGAGAGTACCTATACACGCACGCAGACCCATCCTCACCGCACATCCACACCCACACCCACACCCTTCTTGAAGACTATATGTCTGCAATAGATGTTGCAAAGATCGAACTGGTACCAGTTACCACGCGGATTTTAGATCGATCGGTAGGGAGCTGTGGGTCTAGATTTTTATGAATGAAAACTCGAAACAAAACTAAACTTCTGGATTCCGACTCGAAGTTTTTTCTATCAATACCTGACACTCTCTGTACACATGAACAAGAGAAGGATCAGGGTTTTAGCTATTTATTGATTACTTTTAGAAAAACAATTAACGTAAAGTTTTTTCTTGTTGTTCTCTCGTACCTAGGAAACTGTGACCCACAAAAATATGAACCTGTATCGGTAAAAAATAAAATATTGGACTCTGATGACGCACAATCTGGAAAGATCCTCAGCTTCCTACCGACTCGTCGTAACTGTCGGGTAGGGAGCTACAAATCATTCCAGATCCGGACGCAGATTCACACCGAAAGTTTTATTTTTTGTTGGACTCGGGTTCACATTTCTGTAGATCCGTATCTCTCTAGATGGGAAAATGAATCACAAAAAATAGAAGACGTGAACCTGCACCTCCCTCCTATTGAGACTTCAAATTAACTAATCCGATCTAGTCTGATTTAGTCAGACTAGTTCCATCTCTAAGTGCATTTATAGTGTAGCATTGTTTTGTTTCTTATTGCTTCTTCTTAAACAATCTTTTATTCGTTCATCACTATGATCGAATTCTTGCTAAAATATGCTATAGGCTTATAAATAATAGTAGTATAAAAAGGGAAGAGAAAGATGCATTTTATAGTGAAAAGTAATTTTTGTATTCATTAGGATTAACTATAAATTCGTCTGAAGATTTATAATTATTTTTTTTATCGATATTCGTTCATACTCAGAGTCATCGTTACCAATTATTCATTTTATCAATCAAAGTCGTAAGTCTTTTTTATCAATAAGCATATAAGAGGTAATGTATAGAATAAAAAAGAAATAATGAAATTTCTTATTCTTACTTTATATGAAACTGGTTTGGGTTTCGGTGCACAATATGGATGAATTAAATCTTGACAAATATTCTTAAAAAAACCTAACAAATATCGTATCTGTAATTTCTCTTTGAAAAAGAAGCTGTCTTACTTCAAATTTTATATCCGATACTCGTAATAGTTTATTAAGCAATAGAACTCCTCCATGAACTTGATCTTCTCTTTGTTCATTTGTTGTATCAACTTTTAAATATTTCATTGCTTTTCTATAAGCCATCTAAATAAACAAAGAAAAAAAAATAAATCTAACATATTTAATAACTCCATCGAAAAACTTCAACAAACATTATGTGCATCAAGAAATGTATTGCATTCAGCATTAAGAGCATGACTTATATTACTATTCATTAAATATTCTCCTGTTGTTATATCAGTATAATTACTATTTTGTTCTTCTCGATCAATGAAAATAATAAGTGTTGCATGCATGGTTTCAGCAAATGTTTCACGAAGGAAGAATTGGAAGAAAAACGAAGTGTTTTGAAAGATCTAGGTTTAGCTTAAATAATCGACATTTTATTTATTTGAATGTGTATTCGATTTTTAATCTCATAAACTTCCGTTATACATTCGTATTGTTCTTGTTTTTAATTATGTGATTATTTAAAAAAAAGAAAATTTTTAATCAATAAAAAATATCTTGACTCATTGTATCATTATAAAACATTGATTTTATTGAAAGCATTGAAACGAATTTAACTCTTTAAGAGCAGGATTATTTTTGAAAAACTCAAGTTTTTGAAACTTTGAAATAACACATCTGTTAGAAAGAATATGAATAAGAGTGCACTATAGATCTGTGTGTAGCACTACATTGGCTACAACAGATTCATGACCAGCACTGCATATATATCATAACAGTATCATAAGAGACGTTCTCAAGTCAGCTACGAGTCGATCAAAATTGTTGACTATATATGATATGATCCTCCCATCTTCGACGGGATAATGTTTCAATAGCTAAAGACAATTATTAAGTAACATCAACAATGTTTAAATAGTGCTTGTTTTTAAATCACAAAAAAAGAAAAACAAACACATCAAGTTTGATCAAAAAAAAATAAACATCAAATAGAAAAAAAAATAGCTTAAATAAAAGTAACTAATGTTTTTAAAGTATCTGGTTTGAGAAAGCTACTTAGGTAATATTATCTTCTGGTATTGGATCAAGTACAAATATCAGTTAAATTAGGTTCTTCACCAAATACAAATTTGTACATGTTTATCCATATGTGTTTGTTGGTGGTATCAGTACATAGAACAGATTCAGCGATACTTTCTTTAGTAGCTTCATGCACGAATGTATCGCTGATTATTTGATAATATGAACCTTTGTTACCAAGTACATGTTGCATGCATTCTCTTTCTTCTTCACTTGTAATTAATGATGCACCTTGTCCTTGGTATAAATCATTCAAAAAGTTGGACATGAATTGATAAATATCACGGTATTTTGTTTCATTTGTAACTAGAACACCAGTTTGATTTTGAAATAAATCAGAATATTTGTTTACTAAATACAATCGAAATTTTTCTATTAATATTCTTTTATTTAAAGTAGTTAATGATTTAATTGCAATAAATAGTGAATGAATATTTGATTTTAATACTTTTATTTGAGAATCTTGTTGTGCAATTTTAACATCTCGTTTTTCAATTTTTGCATCTTGTTTTTCAATTCTCTCATTAATCTGTTTAATCGATAATAATAATTCATCAATTTGAAGTTTTTGTTGTTCATTTATTTGTCTTAAATTTGACATAGAATCAATTGGTTCAATAGTAATTGATGATTTTGATTGACTAATATCTTTTTTTTTTTTATTTTGTTGTTCAATCTGACTTTTACATAAATCACTTTTATATTTGTATATAATATAAGCAGATTTTGAAGTATTAACATCTATCCATTGTTGGATAGTACGTGAAGAATTAATAATTGGTGTTATTGATGGTGCATCAAGTAATATTGAATCAATAACAACTTCTTCACATTCTTTAGTAATACGTTGTCGGGACAAATACACCTATCGACCCCCCCCCCCCTTATCTAATGACATAAACCAACCGATTAGCCTCTGGGAAGTCCAGAAAAAAGTATTTTTAGAAGTTCCAGAGTGATCTTGAGGGTGTGGGTGGGTGTGGGGTGTGGGTAGGTGAAGTGAAGGTCCAAACAGGCACCCACACACTCCACCCACACCCACCCACACCCACCCACACCCACACCCACACCCCGTACGGCTTACATGTCTTTTTATTTTCCTTTCATTCAATTCGATATTTTCCTTCTTCTAATATTGTCTAGGTATTTTCCCATACGTTGACCAGACTCTAGTTTCATAGATTTTCAATTTTTTTAAAATAAGGTTATCTCGTAAAAGATCACTCTGGGACCTCTAAAAATACTTTTTCTGAACTTCCCAGAGACTAATCAATCGATTTATGTCATTAGATAAGGGGGGGGGGGG